ATTTTGAATTTCCTTACTAACTTTAACACATAAAACGTTGGTGTCAAACTTCGAGCATTACTTAGTTTGAAGTATGTTTATAGGTCTCTTAATATCTTGGTAGGCGACTTAGCTAAATTGGGTTTAAGAGATAATGTAATCTTTAAAATTTTGAAATTTTCACATCTATCATTTGACAAAGCCCTTATGAAATATAATTATATTTTAAATTTTCACCTCAAAAATAGTTTTATTTTATTTAAAAATCAAAAGTTTTAACTAAAATAAGACATCAGATGCAAAACTGCATCATCCTGCAGTTTTTATAAAACGAGTAAAATAGAATGTACGTAGCCTCTGCTCAAAACATGAAAGAGGGATTAAATCCTTTAATGAGTTTTCAAGAAAATATTGTTACACTAAAATGCTTCCCTCTTTGGTGACAGGAAACAAGCATGTTCATTGTACTTATCATTAGTTGATAGGTACAAGAACAGCATATTTGAGAAGATATTCAGGAAATCAAGTACATAATTGAATTAATTTAAATACATTATGAATATACTTTTTTTATATGGTTTTTTAAATTCAAAAAATATGAAATTTTTTGCAAAATTACAGAAATATGTTGGCAATTTTTGATGCAGTACAAAAATTCAAAAATAAAAAAGTAAAAAGGTGATAAAGTTTCAAAAATTATCAATAGCAATTTTTAAAAAAAATTAAAGTCACCAATGACAATTTAAAAAAAAAAATAAATATTTATAAGTACATTAAAAATTTTCAGTGACAGTTTTTGGCTAAAAGTCACCAATGACAATTTTTTTAAAAAAAATCATATTTCTGTAATTTCACAAAAAATTCATATTTTTTTTTAATTTTGAAAAAAAACCCATATATGAAAAAAAAAGTTTCGAATATATTTAACAATTTAAAATTAATTCTATCTATTTTTAAAACAAATAAACTAGTAGCAATTAAATTAATTTTTTAAAATTCTATATTAGTTAATAATATGATTAATTTATTTTTGTTTGTTTAGACAATTATTTTCTTTTCAGTTAGTTTTTTTTTAAGGAATTGGATATTATTTTCTAATATAGAAAGATCACCTATTTTATTTTAATGTGAAGTCACTGGCAGATGTTTAGTACTCTTTCAATTAGTAATTAAAAATTTTGACTAATCAATTTCTTTGATCATGTCTAAGAACACTTTTAGAAAAAATAAAAAATAATATATTTTAAAAACTTATAACTTTCAATGTTATTAATATATTTAATTTACTTTTAAAATAAAAATTTAATATACATAAATTTTTATCATATGTCATTGACGTACGTTGAAAAAATTGTTGACTAATTTATCAATATTTCTATCAAACACAACGTTGATATAACTTTTTTTACGTAAGGAATTAATATTTTAGAAATCTTAAAAATGTATTTTCAACCAATAAATTTAATAAAAGTTTAGTTTTATCACATTGTTAATATAAAAATGAGATTTTCTCACAGATGCATGAACGCACCTTACTCTCAAGGTGTGCATAGAATCAACCCACATTTGCTAATATATAATCTTCTTCTTGTAAAGTAATTTTTACAAGTTAATTTTTAGTAAAATTAACATTTTATTTGGTATGACCAAGATAAAAATAAGTTTAACTAGTGTCTTCAGATAAATTTTTTATAGCTTGTATATATAATAAATAATTATTTGAATATGTAATACTGGATTTGATCTTGATATTTACGTGTATGAAATGAAAAATATTGCTATTTTTTACTTGGCAACTAGATCAAAGAAGAAAAAACTTGAAAAATATTGATATAACATGTTACTCTTTTGACAAAAATACAAATAACAGCTCTAATTAACTAGAAAATATATCATCAATTTTAGCCAATAAATTTTCTTCTGCAAAATTTTATGAACTCTCAATCTCAATCCTTTTTAACTGTGAACATTTAATTTGTATTTCCAACTATCATTTTTAAATTAATAGCATTTGAATGGAAGGTTCAGTTAACTAAAACCTTCGTCCTTGAAGAAGATATTTGAATTTGAATATCTATTTGTACTTCGCCTCAGAGACTTTTACAAATTATTACAAACAACATGATGCATATTGTATTATTTATTATTTTATGGTTATGGTTTTAAATTGTGGGTGGCAGTGATGATTATAGTAATAACATTGTGCTTTTGAATGTCTCCACAAACATATTCTAGTCGTAATTATAGTCATATCATATTGTATTTAATTGTAATTTTGACAGTATTACTAATTGTAATGCTGTGACCATAATCAAAATTTAAAACCATGCTCGTTTTGATTAATCTGTACCTAGTAATAGCACCCTTCCCACCAAATTCAATTCAAACAAGCTTTTCTATTTAAAATTATGAATTCAACAATATTTCATTTTGTCATAATTCTGGATAATAAAGTTAGGAACAAATTCAATTAATATTTGAACCAACATCAGTTAATTTGTGCAACAGGGTTTTTGCTTCTGTTTGAAAAATGTTTTGCAACTAAAGAATTGATATGCAAACCGCAGAACTTGCGTTTGAATTAGTAATTTGTTTGCAATAGGTAATTTATATTATCATTATATCATTGCTAGTTTAACAATTTGCTTTTTTCTTATTACATGGAAGAGTCTTCTATTACACTAAAATTTTCTATATATATTTCTCAATACTGAATATCAAACTTAAACATTTATATTACTAATTACTCTTTATAAAATATAAAATTAATTAATTCAACTATTAATTTAAAAGATCTTATAAAATAGATCAATTTGACAAAAATTTATAAAAAATAAAATAAAATAAATATATTACATCGAATCTTTTTATTTTAAAAAATAATATTTTTAAAATATATATAAATTTTAAATTTTAGATAATATTAATAAATATTCAAATTATATAAAATTTAATATAATAATTAAATTGATGAATCTTATATTTTATAAAAAGTTATTAATAAGTAGAAGTGATAACGTAATGACATCATAACCCAACTCAAATACGTATGTATCTAAAAGAGTTTTAATTTGCGACATTATGCGCACAAAACAAAACTTCATTTTTCTACAAACACAGGTATTCGTGCTCGGCAAACAAGGCTAAATAATTATATAACGTGGGCAACATAATATATGGAAACGCAAAATTAAATTAAAAAGTAAGTTTAATAGGCAATGTGTAACATCTTCATTTCATTTTTGGGTAAATTATATTTTTATTAATGTTAAGTGGCAATAGAATGCATTTAGATATAATTTTAGAGGATCTTTAGAGGAGTTTTGGTGTAGAAGATCTCGAAAAGACGAGATGAATCTCGTTCAAGTGAAATAAAATAAATGTTGCCTAACTGTCACCTCGCTGATGCGAGGTGAGAATCTCGCCCAGGCGAGATGGGTCGCTTAAGCGAGGACCCACAGAAGAAATATCATACTCTCTAGACACCATCTTGCTCGGACAAGATGAAACTCGCTCAAGCAAGTATATTAGAAAAGAGGGGGTGAGACCACTATTTGTATATATCGCTCAGACGAGATGTCCGTCGCTCAAGCGAGATGTTTCTCGCTCAAGCGAGAACGCGCGGGGCTGAGGAATATTTAAGAAATTTATCGCATGAGAAATTTATTCTATTACAAACTCACGTCCCTTTCTTAAGTTTTCTCTAAACTCTCTCTTCCTTTCACTTAGATAAAGGCCTTAGAAACTCTGATATCTCTTCACAATCACGTTTTTCGATTGTTTTCCTGTTTTTGTTCCTTATGTATATCTCTTGGTATTTAGGAGAACTTTCATCCGTGAACCTTGATCCTTTTCATCTATCTCTGTAAATTCATTCTCAAAGTAAGGAGAGTTCTATTTTATCGTTATACTACAATATTTACTTTATGCTCATAAAGCACTGTTATGTGAATATAGTATGAAAAAAGATGATTAAGATACCTGTTGTATGGAGTATGAATGAAAATATGTTTATTTGATTGTCTAAACTGATTAATTGGCGGGCCAAATGACTTATATATGCTTACTTGCCTTGTATGATGAGTATGTGATATTGAACCTGCTATGTAATTTTGTATGATGTTATGAAATATATGTGAGTAAAATGATATTAAGTAAAAATGTTGATATCAAAGATTTTATGGTTGAAATTGTATCAATGAATGTATGCATGAATGGATTTAGTCTGGAAGTACTTTACTAAACACGATCTTATGAGTGGGAAGAAAGGATAACTCTGAGAAGGACTCTAAGAGTCAGATATAAATGGATTTAATCTAGTATGAATAGTTACAGAGATACATTAGGGCTATAGAGTCTGGAGACGATGAAAATCTAGAGGAAACATAGGGTGATGAGCGACATTTGTGTATGTGTATACACTTTTTCTGAGAGGAAATGCGTCACAAGGTCTCACACTCGTTTCCTGACTAGATTCCTGACTATGCCTTTACTAAGGAGCCTAATTATTATACATGTTGTATCCATGTATATGGGCTAACCATCAACTATTTACCAAGTTGAGTAAAATCTCGAAAAGTGCTGGAAACATTAGTATCTGTGATCACAATGTACTGGGAGTGCATGTTGGAATAAGAGAAAGAAAAATGGATAATAAAATGTTGATTGTTATGTGTGATGTGAATATGTTTGTGAACATGAATTCATAAAATTGAATATGTTGTATTTACATTAAAATTATGATTTTATGCAAAAATGTTTGCAAAGGGATAAAATAAATGCTTATCCTTACTAATAATTTCAATACATTTTAGGGTTTATGGTTTAATAGATAGTTATGTACATTTTAGATTAAATTATGTGTTTAATAAGTATCAGAGAGCAAATTATTTTAAATTTATTGTACTAGTAGAAGATGAACCTAGGATTTTTGTTATGATAAAAATAGATTTTTCTTGTAGTATCCCTTTTGATTTCCCTAGGAGTAGAATACACCAAACTTTGTGTGTATATATGTTCAGAGGTACAGTTAAGACCCCAGCGACCCTTACTTATCTTTTCACCTATCACGACCACGACTATCTCGGAAGACTGTCCAGATGGACCTTTAAGCACATCACTGAAACTGATGTTAGAGCCGATTCAGATGATGGTTATCTAGGTTCAGATGATGACATAGATTTAAAGGAACTGGCTGAGATAGAGAGTTGGCACAGGGTTAATGAATAGTACTGATCTTCAGTGTTAGTTTATGATTTGAGACTGCTTTAAAACTTCGATTAGTTTATGTAATGTACATATTATTTTAAGTTTCATATATTTTAATAAATGATTTATAAATTATTAGACTCGATCAATGGAATATATGTACAGTCTTTGAACTTATGAATTATGATTATGTTTAATATATCATTTAAAACTTTTGTCATACATTTATATTAATTGAATTGGAAATATTTGTACAAATTACTATATTGCAACTAAAATTTTGTTAACCATTTATAATGAAGCTCTTTATACATAAATTGAGTATTTTACAATTAAATTATAAACTGAGAAATATACGTTATATGTAATATTGATATAAGGATGTTATACAGTAAATTTTTTTTTTTAATTATACAAAGACGAGTTAATTTTGGTAACAAGCGATTCAGTATCGTTTAAGTAAAATTTTAAGTTTACGTTCTTGTATATGCAAAAAAGTCTTTCGTGATATATTCACCCACCTCACGTCCTTATCCTATACGACGTCAAGTAATCAAAATTATTCGAATTTAAAATAATAAGTGGCCAAAATAATTTGGCATTAAAATTTTATTTCAAACCCACAAATATCTTTCATAGAAACTATTGTGTATTATTTAAGAATATCTACAGTAAGATAAAGCGAGCGTTTCCAACAGTAGCTTTTTTTTTTCATGTATAAAATTTTTAAATATAAAATCTTACACGAGAAAACTGGGACATGTATTACATAAATTAAACACCCAATAAACAATTTAATAATAAAATTACTTATTAATGTATAAAATATCATGTTTACTGAATGGTGTGTCATTTTTGTTTTTTCATGCCCTTATACATGTGACTTTAATAATAATTTTTTTTAAACATTGACTTTCTATTAAGGATAAATTTAGAGTATATATAAGTATACTGACTCGTTATAACTCTAAAAAAAAATTAATAATATATTAAGAGATTATTAATCTAATTCATATAATTTTGATATTATAAAATTTATTATATATAAAGAATAGAATTAATGGAAAATAAATTTTGCGTCCCCGTTTACCTAACTGCACGGTTGGTTCCAAAATTTATTTTCTTGTTCAGGTCAGTTTGAAAAATTTATTTTGTGATCAGACCAAGTTAGCAACTGTTTCAACGGGCTCAGGACAAAACGGGACTTTAGCACAACTAAGATATCTTATCTATATACGTCTCTACCCTATGCACAAAGCTCATAAATAGTGTTTGCTTTATCTTTTTGCCACTATAAATATAGTCACACTCTTCCAAAATCATGTACACAAATCTTAATTTGCCACTCCTCCTCTTACCTAAGTTTTCATTAAGATGGCATCCAAACCTGGCATACTAACTAATTGGCCATGGAAGCCTCTTGGGAATTTCAAGGTTTTCTTTATTATTATTTTGAACTATTTCATCTTTAAGCTAAGTATATCTCTTTATTTCAGTTGTTCAATGTTTCATCCCTTTGTTGCTTCGGAGTATATAATATATTGTAAATTAACAGCCTTTCTTTCATTCATTACGTCGTAAAATGTTTTAAATTGTGGTTATGACGTAGTTGTGAGACCTCTAAAACTTTTATTTTAAAATTGTTAGCAAATATAGACGATTTGATGTTGTTTACAATCATCATGATCACGCACACGGTTGGAAAATATCTAAAACCTTATATATTATGTTTTCAAGGATTGCATACAACATAATGTGGCTGACATTTTTTGCCATTGCTATGCATAAAATTGATGGCAGTGGGTGATTTTGACACCATGGATTGCACACAGCACCTACTCATTCATAGTGAACGATCCAAAGGAGAAGGACTTAGCTTACTTCCTCATTTTCCCTTACATGATGGTGAGGATGCTGCATGACCAAATTTGGATCACTTTGTCTCGCTATAGAACTGCCAAAGGCAAAAATAGAATAGTTGACAAGGGCATTGAGTTTGAACAAGTTGATCGAGAAAGCAATTGGTTAGTGAGAAATATCTTTATTATATATATTTTCTTTTGTATATATACATTGGAGCCTTTCTAATGAACTTATGAAAAAATAAATGGCTTGAATTAACAATCACTTTGCTATATGAAGCTATTTATATTCTTAATTTTTTTTTCTCTCCATCTTATGCAAATGATGATGGTTTTGCAGGGATGACCAGATCTTGTTCAATGGGATCTTGTTTTATGTAGGTTATATGCTTATTCCAGGGGCTTCTCATATGCCCTTGTGGAGATTAGATGGTGTGGTTATCACTGCTCTTCTACATGCTGGACCAGTGGAGTTTCTTTACTATTGGTTACATAGAGCACTTCATCACCACTTCCTCTATTCTCGATACCATTCTCACCACCATTCTTCCATTGTTACAGAACCCATTACATGTATGCTTTTCTCTTATTCTTTTTATATAATTCGTTCTTTTAATTTATTTCATGCTTAATCAACCCTTTATTTGCTTGGTTGTCTACTCGGGTTTGAGTCATTTAATGTTCGAAAGTACATTAAGGTTTAGCAAATATCTAAGCTAGATAAACTTATTTAAAGATAAAACTCTCTCAATTTTATTTATTTTTATTTACAAAATTTGAATTTAAAACAGTATTTAAAAAACTCAAACTCCTTTATCATTTTAAGTAAGAAGTTTCTCTTTGCATAGTAATTTGGCAGTAAAAAACGTTTATTTTTTATTGTTATTCACCTCTTATTTTAGGAAATATATAAATACATCAAGAAACTAAAGTGGTTATATGAAATATCAGTCCATAAATAATTTTATTCTATACTCCTCTTTGTTTCGTTTTTATTTTGTCTATTTTGACACTGACATTTAAAAAGTTAAAATAATATGATTTATTATCTTTTAGTTATGTTTAATAAGATTTATATAAATTTTCTTTAATAAGAAAAATGTATGTTAAAAATTCTTGCTACGTCATTACCTTTGCCCTGACAGATTGGCATAAAAATAGACTTCACTTTTCCTGACATCATGGACCACATTAATAAAAGCAATGTGTCTTATTCAAAGAGGCAGAGAAACACTCTAAACAAATTAGTGAAATCCCAAAATACATACCAACAGGGAAAAAATGGTAAATATAATAAATGATGTGCCATCATGCGATGAAAATAAAAAGTTTAATTTTTTATATATGGAATTTTAAAAATATAAATATCAAAATATGATATATTTTTTTAAAAAAAATTATGAAAATATGGGATTTAATTTTTTTTATATTTTTGTATTCTTCTCAAAATATCATATTTTGGTCATTTTATCATTTTTTTATATAAAAAAAGACTCAAAAAGAAAACTCTTTAAAATTGAGAATAAACAATTACTTATATATTTTTTTATAAAAAAAATTGGTTATAAATATTTAAACTTAATTTTAAAGAATGAAATTAATAAAATTTACAATAAAATATAAAACAGATATCAATATTGTTGAATTATTTATAAATCAAAACTAAATATTAAAATAAATTACAGCATATACAGCTAATGGGTTCTTCAATTTGGCAGCTGTGATCCATCCATTTGCAGAGCACATAGCCTACTTTTTGTTATTTGCCATTCCAATGTATACAACTGTGATCTCAAGAACAGCATCCATAGTATCCTTTGCTGGTTATCTCGCATACATTGATTTCATGAACAATTTGGGACACTGCAATTTCGAGTGCATTCCAAAGGCCATCTTCTCCACCTTTCCTTTCCTAAAGTATCTCATGTACACGCCATCGTAAGTTTCTTCTCTTCACTCCTTATTTCTCAAATTAAGCATTCTTAATTTCTTATATATGTGATAAAATGCTCATTTCCTTGCTTCGTTTTGTAAATGTTGCACCCCCAATAAGCTGTTCAAGAGCTTAATTCAGATTTTCTTTTTTATCAGAACTACAAAATAAACTTATTCATTATATTGAACTTTCTATCCCATTTAATTTAGTTTTTATTATAATTTTGTACTCCTTATATTTAAAAATACCAGGAATAATTAAATATTAATCGTGTGAAATTTTCTGGAGTGTAAAATAAAAATAAAAAGAGAACCAGCATATAAAACAGAAGCTTCAAAATTAAATACGTTGTAAAAGAGAATAGAAATTACACAGTACACAAAAACAATAATAATATTTTTCATCATAAATTATTATTATTATTATTATTATTATTATTATTTATAGATCCTGTTTGGGAGTTAGAACGGTTGGGTAGGGGTCGTTGTATATTGCAAACATTAAGTTATTGAAAGACCGACAGCTTAATAAAAAGGTGAAAAATGTAGGTGAACGTTTGCATCTATGATGTCCGGTCGATCTTACCCAAAAACTTCTTAGACTGGTTACATATGTTTTAGTTATTTAATTAAAAAAAAATCAGTTTCATTTTTTATTCAATTTAAAAACATGCCAGAACTACCAATAAAAAAAGTTATTTAATAACATTTTAATGTTAGATTAGGTTTTGTTAGAATAATGATTTAAAACAAAAACTAAAGTATTAGTATAGAGATTATGAGTTTATATTATCAATACATTAAATGTTAGAATGACATGTTATTTATTAGTATAAATTCCAAAATTTATATGAACAATTTCTAACGGTGGGTTGTACTAATAAGTAATTTCTTATTATAAAAATTTTGATGTGTATTATTAATATATAAAAAATTAGTATAATACAATATATTATCAGTGTAAATCTTTAAATTTTATACCAAAAAATTAATTTATGTTAGTAAAAATTCATAGTAATTAAGATAATTATAACACTTAATAATTTAATTATTAATCGATATTTTATCTCTTTACTGTATTTTAATAGATGATATATTATTGAAATATAAATAATTAATTATTATTAAATTATATTTTTTATAAGGGTTTAAATTATATATATATATATATATATATATTATATCAAGAATTAAATCAATAAAATTTATTTTTAATAGAAAATTATTAAAAAATGTGACTATGTTTGATATATCCGATGTTATTTCAAAATATATAATATTATTCTGGATTGGTTTTGAAGTTTGAAGAAATAGGTATCATAATAATGTCTCAAAACTATAAATAATTAGCATTACACTATTACACTATATGATATAGTCCACATGTATCATTCATTAGTCGGATAGATATAAATTTTTTGGAAATTTTTAGTAAAGTGAATGCATTAAATTATAGTTTTGCCACCTCAACCCAACATTTACCTTAATTAATTCATTTAATGTGTGTTACCAATGTATTGAAGCCACCTTCAATCTACGACAAGTCACTTAGGACAATCCATTTAGCCATCTACGTAATGTCATTCATAGTTTTAAGACAATGATATATCCTTATATAAAACCTATGTGAAGTCAAAACAATAATGATTTATTCCTTATTTAAATTTGTGGAGGTTTTCACTATTTTTTTATTTTATTTTTGGTAATGATCGTTGTTGACTATTAATTATATTTTTTTTAATGTTATGGATTTTTAAAATAAATAAATGAAAATGAAGTGTATATGATACTTATATATCTACTCACTATTATTTGAAAAAGGATTGAAAATCTTATCTGAAAACCCATACTTCTAAACACTACCAATTTTTATTTTAATTAATTTTACAATATACTGTCTGTATAAATAAAACTTCACATTCATATAAAATACTTATCATACAATTTAACAAATTTAGTAAGATATAGTTATATATATATATAAAACCAAAAAGTTACTATAGACAAGATTCGGTTACACCATAAAAATAATTTATATTAAGAATATATCAAAAACTTTTATGCCAACCGTCAAAATTTTAATAGTTATGAACGTCAATTTCTGTTAATTTCATTCTAACAATTTATCAAAAACATACTTTCAAAAAAATTATTTTTACTTCATAAGTTGACACGCATCATTACTTCTTTTAAATTGATAATTTTTAGATTAATCTCACTAATGTATTTAAAATTAAATTGATTTTACAGTTAGAATAAAATGCTTAAAATTTTAAATTATGTTTTATTTTCTCTTACTTTAATTACATTGACTTGTGCACCATTTTTTAAAATTGCATCCAATAGACCTCAAAAATACCTCTGTTCAATAATAACATCCATGTTCATTTAATACCTATTCAAAAACACAAGAAAATATATGAAAGAATCAAAATTAACTCAGAATTATTCTTGATTAATTAGGTGAAGCAATAGTGAGTCATTTGTTTATGCTAGAAACAAAATATTGGTGTGTATTCTTTATAAAAATGCATTTGAACAAATAAAGAAAATGGGGGCAATAACTAAATTTATTTGTGACAGGTTCCATTCACTGCACCATACTCAGTTTAGGACCAATTACTCACTGTTCATGCCCATTTATGATTACATTTATGGTACCATGGACAATACTACAGAGACCACATATGAAACATCATTGAAGAGAGAAGAAAGTTCACCGGATGTGGTACATCTAACACACCTTACAACCCCAGAATCCATATATCATCTGAGGTTTGGATTTGCTTCCTTAGCTTCCAAACCCCAATCTTCTGAATGGTACCTCTATTTGATGTGGCCCTTAACTCTTTGGTCTGTTCTAATCACTTGGTTTTATGGTCAAACATTTGTTTTGGAGAGGAACACTTTCAAAATGCTTAATTTACAATCATGGGTTATACCAAGATTCCATGTACAAGTAAGATTTGGGCAATATTTATATATTACTTTTCTCAAGGAGGAAAATTAATTCCTATGACTAATAGGGTTTCTCTTTTACCCTTTCTCAGTATCTTTTCAAATGGCAAAGAGAAACATTAAACAAACTTATAGAAGGTGCAATACTGCAAGCCGAGTTAAGCAAAGTTAAGGTTTTAAGTCTAGGCCTTTCAAATCAGGTGAGTCTCTTATTTTTAACAATTTTATTAACTTCAATTATGAAGGTTGAGTTTAAATATCTAAAGCCAGTATAGTTTTATTATTTTTAAATATTTATACTCAACTCAAATGATTAAAGTTGATTAAATTATTTTTTAAATATTTGATTGAATGACAGCATATGTTAAATGCATGGATGCAGGGAGATTCTCTCAATAAATGTGGTGAACTTTACATCAAAAGACATCCTAAGCTTAAGATAAAGATTGTGGATGGTAGCAGCTTAGCTGTGGCTATTGTTCTTAATAGTATTCCCAAACAAGCAAGCCAAGTGCTTCTTTGTGGTAAACTTAATAAGGTTTCGTATGCCATTGCTGATGCTTTATGTGAAAGGGGTACTAAGGTATGTTTAATTGTATTTGTGGAAAATGTTTCAACATAAGTAAAATCTGCTTATTTTAAATTTATATTTTAATTAAGAATATTCATATTAAATGATTGAATTAGTCGCTTATATATTAAAATGTTTGATAAATATATTTTTGTTTTTTATATAAAAAGAAAGATAGTATAAAATAGTATTTTTTATTAAAAATATTTATTAACTATAAAATACAAATTTGAAAGAAAATATTTTTTAATAAATATTTAAAAATTTTATATGCTTAAAATCATACATAAAAATTAATTTTAACAAAAAAAATTTAAGGTTAAATTATATTTTCTTTTATCTTCTAAATGTAAGAGAAACTTCATTTAGTTCTCTAATTTTATCTTTATTCAACTTAAAGTTCAATTTAATTTTATCTGTATTTAATTCAGTCTTCTTAGTCAATAACACTCCTCTCAGTCTCGTTTATAAAAAATAAATATTTAATGCATCAAACCAAATAAAAATTAATCATGTCATAAATTTATAGTTAATTCTAGAATACTCATAATATTAGTTAGTATTTTTTTATTTTAAATAAATGTATCCATTTATATAGGCAAAGGGTGAATACCTAATTAAAACAAATCTCACGATAAATAAAGATATAAAAGAAATTAATAATCAAAACATTTATTAATGATTTTTTTATAATTAAGATTAAAAATATTAGTAATTACATTTTTATAAAGAGGATCGAAGAAAGTATATGATAATATAAATAAAAATTTCAGATTTCTAAAATATCTCAAATTACTTTCAATTTTTTATTTAAAAATATCATCTAATTCGGCAAATTATAGCAGCTAATGTTCTAGAATTATTCATAGATCTACTGTTATATAAGGATCGATTATCATTATAACAAGCTTCAATTAAATTTCAATTTGAAATATTTTTTGCCATGTTTCCCTGTTAAATGGAATCTTTCTTCAGGTTACAACAATGTACAAGGAAGATTACGAGAAAATTCTATTAAGGCTCTCCACTAATTCCCAGAAGAATTTGGTTTTGCCAGGGTCCTATACTGCTAAGGTAAAGCCCTCCAACTATTTAATAAATAATTTTGTTAACATTAATTCTTAAAGTTAATTTTACATATTTAAAAGTGCATTTTTTTATCAAAAAAATATATGTTTACATTTTCAATAGAATACAATTTTTTTATCATTAAAATTTATTATTTTAAAATTAACCCTCAAGATCAATGTTAACAATTTTTTAAATGAATTGCCTCTTTTCTTTTTCTTTTATATTTGACAGCTTCAATGGAAATGATAATGATGCATGAATTGAGGAATTAATAGTTAAGAGACATTACAATTTATAAAATAGAAATACACTAATAATATTTTTAAATATCTTAATAAGTAATTAACCTAATTGGTATTTGTCAAAAAAAAGTATTATCAAAATCATGTAATTATTTGAATTAGCAGATATGGCTAGTAGGAGACCAATGTAACGAGGCTGAACAAAAGAAGGCACCAAAAGGATCATTGTTCATACCTTATTCTCAATTCCCCCCAAAGAAACTACGCAAAGACTGCTTCTACCATAGCTCACCAGCCATGATAGCTCCCCCTTCTTTAGTGAATGTACATTCTTGCGAGGTAAGTACATATTATTTACGTTCAATTCCTCTCTGGTATTTAATGTATACCAGAAAAGAAACAAAAAAGAACTGGTTGATATTACTTACACTTCAAGTAAACTTGTTCATGCATATGACTTCAATTATTTTGATTTTCAATATGCAACAGAATTGGCTGCCAAGAAGGGTGATGAGTGCGTGGCGTGTCGCTGGAATATTGCATGCATTAGAAGGTTGGAACGTTAATGAGTGTGGAAACGTCATTTTCAGCGTTGAGAAAATATGGCAAGCAAGCCTTCAACATGGGTTTAGGCCATTGATGATTAAACCCTTAGCTTCCATTTTAAACTAGCAATTTAAATCTACATCAGAATGTGCAATATATCTCATGAATTAATCTACTATATTGGTTAATTATGAAATACAATGCTTCCATCAAGCTATATTGCTCTTGTAATCATATAATATCCATTTCCACAGCCTATGTATTGGTCTTCGTGTTTCGTAATATATGCTGTGTAATAGAAAGTATGTTTATATTATGCACTTGCAGAAGTGAACTTTATAATATAGAGAGTCTCGAGCTTATATCATATCCCGTTGACTATACTCTTTATAATTTTGAGTTTTGCATCTATCAAATTGTTCTCAATATGTTGAATTATTTTAGACATTTTTCAAAAAAAAAAAAAAAACAGTTTAGTAAGGTGAGTTGTAAATATTTAAAAATTAATTTTTCATTTAAATGTATTTTTAGTCTCGCTAAATATTATAATTTTTTGATATCTCATTTTAAAAGTTATAATTTAGTACTTGTAATTTTTTTATTTCATAAATTTATTCTATTAATCTTTTATATTATATTTTTTAAGTGACATTTTTGCCTACTTGTTTAATTTTTAAAATATCATAAATTTTTTACTTGATCTTTCTAAATATTACACGTTTTCTATTTATATCCTCTTCTTAGGACAAATCTACACATTTGAGCCAAAAAGGACTAATAAGGGAAGGATATGAAAAGGAAAAAGTTTACAACAAATTAAAAACTTTTTAAAACTTAGGAGTAAATAAAAAAATTAATATTTAAATGGTCTTAAAATATATTTAAGTCTTACTTATTTTAGCTAATCCTGAAACATTTATGGTATCATAAAAAAATAACTTCATACTTTATATTTTTATTTTGAAAGTGTCAAATTTTTTTATTAATTTTTTCGCGTATGTTACGAGCCTTCCATGCACTTCGGCCCGACAATACCCATTGGGCCAGTCTTATTCAGCTTACTCGAAACTAGCTTGGACGGAAAAAAAAGCCTCAAAATTCTTTAAATCTCCATGAAGAGTTTTGCTAGCCTGATAATTTATTTATATTGGATATAACATTTTGTTAATCACAGCACCCATTTTTGTATCTATTTCGAAAATAAATTTTCAAAAAATATTACTAAGTTAAATTTAGGAAGTAGAAGGTGGTGTAAAAAACAACTATCTTCGATATTAAATAGGATTAACTAAAGAAATGCTTCGTGGCTTGTTCATCAAAATGAAAAAATATATGTTCTCTAAGAGGTACATTTGCTTGGCTATTTTTATTAAAATTATTAATATTTTAGAATATGGGTCCAATCCAATGACGAGAGAGAATGTTTAGACTATAAGTTTGAAAGATCTATTCAAAGTAAGACCTTACTTTTATATTTGAAATGTTGTTAACCCATTAAGTGTGATTTTATAATTTATATCTTAACAATTTTAAACGATTTGTTTTTTAATGAAACCTTTATTAAATTGGCATGGCACGACCTATGAAACTTCCAATTTGTTTGGGACAAGGAGCCACAGCTTAATATTTTAAGGTTTCGATTTCAATGTGATATTTACTATTTATTCTATTTGTGTAATTTGCTCGTTAGCCATTAATAAAGGTATTCTTGGGACTTAAGCTCCCTCATATGCCTCCACCATCCTGCCTAGGCACTCTGATTTTTGAATGCAAAGCACTAGGATCCCAGTTCCACAACTTCGCCATTTATCATGTTTATAGCATAATGGTCCCATTTCATATCCTGGCTAAATTTGCCTTGCAAAATAGTAATGAAATATGGTTAGAAGAAACACCACCATGTACTGCTAAAGCTGTCTACTCAGACTTGTCTCCTCTGATTATTTACTTGACATGTTCACTTTCCTGAATAATAAAATAAAAAATAAAAACTTAATGGCAACAAAAGCAAAATTTTTTGTAACATAAAAATTTCAATCAAGATTCTCAATTCTGGTGCCCTTTACAGTGCACAAAGCAAGAGTTTGTCCATTTATTAGGATTAATTATCCGATTGATTATCCAGCTTATTCTCTCAAATTGTAAACATTGACTGCTTTAATTCCTAATTTTACAAAAATCTCACTTTAGAGCTTAAGTTTTTTTTAAATCAATAATTTTATTTTTCATTATTGTTTCATATCAAAATGGATTAAAATATATAATCTTAAAATAAATTAAAGTGACAAGAGTCAGCGGGACACTTGGTTTTACATTTTTTTGTCCATGTGTTAAGATTAAATCCTTATATATTATTGATTTATTATGCAAACGTATTTCATCAGTAGTTAAAATTCTCTGTTTTACTATCTGAAGTACATCTTTCATCATAAAATATCTAAATCCAGTATAAACTAACCCTCAACAATTAATGGCTCACATAAATACATAATCCACTAACAAAGCCGTGTAAGTATAATCACGAGTTAACAATTTTAATAATTTGTTATTAATTCAACAAGACCAGTATCAAAATATACAGCAATTTTTTGTTGTTTAGTACTGATTACATTAACATCATAAAAGAATGCAAATTTTGCAAAAGAAAGCAAAGACAGTGTACAACAGCAATGTTAACATTGTTGGTCCATGATGTCCAAGACACCAACTTATACACCTCTATCTCTAATTAATGATTTAATAACTGAAACAACGATCCATACAACTACTGTAAAAACCTTGAGTTACAAAAAATAAAACAAAATCAATTAACAGGATGAACTATGGGACATGAATTATCCCAGCACCAAAGGCAAATAAAAACAGCAAGAAACAGGAAGAAATACTGTACTCAAAGACCTCAACCAAATTTTTTAGTTAACCAATCACGACAATGGTCCAAATTCTGGCATGCTACAAAAGATCATTCTGACATTTCACTGGCTTCTATTTCGTGAATATTTTGTACATTAGGGAATTGAAGCTTGAGGTATACTAAAAGGCTTTAGATGGTTGTGGTTGCACACATTTCAGCTTCAGTTTAATTGAACTGCAGAAAACAAATCAATATCAAAACCAGTTCTGAGTAAATCATATCGGATGATGTTTAATGGAAATTGGGGGCTTGGAACTCAAGATTGAACAATTGAAATTGTGGTTTTAGGTATAGACAGAGGAAAAAGAGAAGAGACTAACTATTAAGAAATTGATGTTGATTTCATATGATGTCATGTATTACAATGCATTGATGTCAGTATAAAACTTAGAACATTAACCCTTATTTATACTAATCATAATCCTAATTAAAAGGGAAATAAATCATGAGATAAGGAAATAAACCAATCCTAAGAGATAATGGAAAATAGGGAAACTAATTGTAAAGGGTAATATAAGATACTTTAAAATATGATATATATTCAAACACAAATTACCATATACAGCTAATAATGAAGCTAGTTCAACGTAAATCAAAGACCCATAATACCTTCAATTGTGTACCCACAAAGGATCCAAAGAGAAAAGTCTATCGTTTCTTGTGCTCGAAGCAGGAGCTCTAGGTGGGGGAGCATGTACAGTAATTGGAAGAACCCATTCAGTTTTTTCTCTTCCCTCAATCAGAAGAGGATGCTCATATCTGTGGTTCAAAAACCATATAAATTTAAATAACCAGTAGTACCACTAAGAATTCTATGAAACCTATTTTCTTCATTTGAAGTAAATGACATCGAAAACTGGAGGTTGGTCTTTGGTTATGACTTGAATAAATATACGGTTCAAGTATTAAAAAATAGAGATCAAGAATCCTATAGTACATGCACATCAAATATAAAACGATAATAATGTTTGCAGCCAAAGAAGACAAGTGCATGTATGATGTCAATGTCAGAGTCTAAGAAAAAAAAATTGCAGAAGAGCTTAAAGTATACAATAGTTGGATTATGAATGAAAAAATATGTAGGGTGTAGACCATATATGGTATGTGTAAGGAGTGTGGACTGTAGAATGAGTTGCTCTGATGTAAGATCAACCGAAAAGCAGACATAGCTGATTATGGGTAGAAAAGGTTAAGAGTTAAACTCATACCTTTTCCAATCTACATGCTTTGGAGTTGTGAAAAATTCAAAGCGAAGAACCCACTGCACAGATACATGTTGAGTGGAGAAAGACATTGGACCATCCATTGGGATAGAAAAAAGAAAGCTTGTCTGCACCAAATCAGCAACAACCTCTTGATGATCACTCTGAACCTAAAAGGACAGTTGAGACCATAATTGTCAGAATCAGAAGCCAATTTTTATATTGAAATATATAGATACTCACATTTTTGCTAGTTAGATAATGATTTTTTTTCTCCTTTTGAATATTAGAAAGACAAAACTAAGCACAGGACACACAACATAATGCGGAGAGACACTAAATGAGGAAGTCTATCAAAGAGTTGAGATTCACCTTTTGAATAATCACAAATTTTACTCAATCAAAACGAACCAGTTAATCAAATCAACATCATTAATACAGAATAACACACCATAGTGAGTAGTAACAAGGGGATCTTATATATCAAATGGTGCATAGCTTAGTGTTGCTATTTTGAAACATTGTACTTGATAAATAAGTTGAGGATGAAAGAGAGAAATGCTTCAAGCATAATTTCTGGCCATAAAGAACCTATTAAACATATAGGAAAATTCTATCAACAGTTATTAGACCAGCAATGATCTCTGTCTATGGTAGCAAAAGTCAGGAAGTAAAGTGCCAACAGGAGCAAAGGCAAAAAAGTGTACCAGATAAGAATTTTGCGGAAGATGAATACACATACAAAAATCTATATTATTAGGAACAAATGTATTTGGGAGAAAGTTGGATCAGCATCTATCATGGAGAAGACAACAGAAACTTGCAATGTTGGTTGGGTCCGGAAAGGTTTAGACCAATAGAAGCTCTATTGAGTAGTGAGGAAAGCCAAAGATAACATTAGGTAAAACATTAACAAGAACCATAATCTAAATGGATTTAGTGAATGTTTGGATTTGGATTCCACAAATCAGTAACAATTCAAAAAAAGCTTGAGCAGTGAGAGCTAAAAAAAGCAATAGCAGATACCTTTGTGATCGTAGGAGAATTCCTTCTAGAAGGGTGGACAAATCGTCGATTTATAGTTTCTGAAGTTTCCAATGTTATGGAGATCTGAAAAATAATGATTATAATAATAAATTTATTTCCAGTGCATCAACTGCAATAAATATTTTGTTAATTATACTTTAACTCTCAACAGCTTACAAAAGGGCAGTTACCTCAAGGCATCTCCTGGCTCCTTCTTCATGAAAGAAAGTAAGAGTGCCACCTATCTGTAACAATAAAGTAGTTGCTGAATAGACTTTCTTATGTACACCATGTATCAAAATATACTTGATTATCCTTACCACATCACTGAAGTAATAAGTTGAGTCAGAATTTTTAGGGGAAAATTTAAGCAAAACTTGATCATCAAGTCTGATGTTATAAGATCTTCCTCTAATAAAGCCTTCTGCTGCAGAAAAGGTTTGCATAAAATTAGCTTACATGGAGTATGAAAATATTTTAAGTACAAGAACATCTATTATGTGTCCAAAGCACCCAATATCATTTTAGAAGTGAAGAAAATGCAACAACTTACATGATAAAGATTCTACGGCCCCAGCATTAGGTGAAGAGGATACTCCTGCATCTTCTTCTGCAGGAAATGTCTTTCGGTGCTTCTGCTGCTCACTTGGGGTTGCGGAGACAATGGCAAATGACTTCTGGGTCGATAAGACATCTGTTTTCTAAATAAATTAGCATAGCAAGTACTTGAATTCAAAACAAAAGTAAAAGATGAATCCTATAAATCATCACTTATAAACCAACACAACTTGATATTGTTCTAGAACTAAATTTCTACACACACAAAAAAGGAGCAGTTTCATTCATAAACCAACAATGAGGTATAGTGTAACTTACTCACCAGCACCAGAATCAGATAATACTTCAGCAACTGACAGCCGAGGAAGTGCCATATTTGAAGATAAACTTGTTCGGAATCCTTCTAAAGTAGAAGCATCCCTGGTCAATGATCTTGCAGAAGAAGATCTTAGTGAAAGTGAACTTCCAAAGCCTCTATGTAGATTCTCTCTCATGGGATTATAAGAAGAAACAGATGAGATATCATCTCTTGAGCTGTCATCACCCTCCTCAACTCCATCATAAATATCATTTGCCCTAACCTGTAAAGAAATGGTTCTATTTAATATTAATGGTCCAAGGGAAAGAACAGTATGAATATGTATATTGTAGGTTTTGATGATGCCAAAAAGACAAGAAGAAAGAAACTAAATAACATGAAGATCCTTGATGATGAACAAGAAAAATGGCAAAGACAAATGGTTAGAACATTTAGGATTTAGATAAGTTTATCAAAAGTTTTCTCTTTAGTAAGTTTATTTGGCCATCTCTATATTAATTAAGCTTTAATCAAAATAAATTTTAAGATAATTTTGATCTGAGAAGAAAGCTTAAATGATGTTTTAAAACTATTTAAAAAATGTAGTAGTAAAACATCTATCTTTCAAGTTCTGGGTTTATTGTAATCGATTACCATATAAAGTAATCTATTACCATGTTGTTCTTATACCCAGAGTTCAAAATCTCATATGTGTAATTGATACCAACAAGTGACCATTGCCACTGTCAGTTTTCAAAATTTTGAACTATATTTTCAAGTTCATGTAATCGATTATCAAGACCAGAATATGCAAAATGCCAGCCTTTGCAAATTGATTACCAAGAGGATATAATTTAAATGAAGACACAGTGGAGAAATGCAAAGAAAAACTATTTCATTTATCCGAAGTTAAAATTCTTACCATGAGACCTTACTGAAATGAACAAAGGAGATTAGAACCGAAGGTCAATACTTGCTAGATTAGTATTATTCTTATACAAATTAAATTTAGAGATGCATTAAGATTGCCTATATAACAGAAAGTAGCAATGAGAGTAATGAGGATTTAAAGGCCAAATTCATTTCCCTAGCTACTTCCTACCACTTCTAAGTTTCTCTGTATTCCTCTAACATGAACATATCCTTTTTCCTTTTCTAACCAAAATCCCATCTACATCCGCTATAAAATGTAATTTTTCAAGTGATTCACATTTTGCAGAGACAGAAGTCACAGAACATTTAATAATTAAAATCAAATAAAGGGCATTCTTAAAACAATAGGTGGCAAACAAATTTAGGCTAAACCACAGATAAGTTTAGTTTACCCAATAAAAAAATATCACCAATAGCATACCCAATCAGCATCTCCATCCATCTCTTTCCAAAATATATCCAGTTGTACAGTAGTTAAGGGAACAATATCTGAAAACATATAAAAACATGGATATATTATTTATAACATTCATCAAAGGTTAAGATGACTAAAACTTTCTGAAGCCACATGAAATAAAAAGGTAAAGGTACAAAAGAACAAAAAATTTACTAGTAAATTCTTCAATGATATTGGGTTCTAACAAAGTTTGCATACAAGAATTGTAAGGTTGAATTTGAACAAATGGCAATGCCGCCATGTTATCATGGACAGAGAACAAAGTGAATGACAACTTGACACAATAAATGGAAGAAAGTTGTAATGGTATGGTTTGCGGTAATATAGACAATTTGACTTTAGTGAAATAATATTCTCTTCAATAAAAGTGTATTAAATGTTAGTGAAATATTTGATTCTATTAAGTATCGTTCTTGAAAGTGGCTTATAGCAGGGCTTTGGAAAGATCGATTGTATATGTAAATTAGATTAATAATTTCTTAACATGTTTTATTAATTCCTTTTAGAGTTGTAATGAGTTAAAGTACTCCTTGTACTTGAAATTTATCCTTAATAAAATGTTGATGTTTAGCAAAAAAAAAATTAAAAAAAAATTGACACAATAAATATTTTGTAATTTAATGTTTTCTCATAATTGCTTCTTAGGTCTTCATGTACCCATTTTAATGGGATTAATGACCATTTGATCCACTTATCTTGCTGGTTTGGTAATGGTACCACAGGCATGCTGCTACCTCTCCCCTTCATTGTTAGACATACAACCATGGTAGTTAAAATTGCAATTTTACACATAAGATTGTTCGATTTTATGATTTTCTCATGCCTCAGCGATCCCAATCACACTCTCTAACTTGTTTTGCTAGGATCGGTAGGATCGTAAGATCTTACTTGTTTGTAGGATCGAACGATTATTCTGATCCTGCTCGAACTCATTTCTTTTGGAAAAAACCAACAAATTTGACCCAATTTTCATTGGCCCGTTAAATTAAAGACTTCAACTCATTCATTTTGGCACTTTTCTTTCCCATTTTTCTCCCTTATGCACACAAAAGTTCTAAACCCCTTCTTGGTTTTTCTACTTCTGATTTTGGCCCTATTCACTTCAGTTCTTTTGCTTCTGGGTTGAACTCTTGGTCCATTTTCTTGTGGGTTCAACTACTCCTTGTTTGGTTCAGTTGCTACACTATTTGGGACCCTGGGTTCAAGTTTCTGATCTATGCTAGGTTACACTCTTTTAGTCTGTTTAGTTATTTACAGAAGTCTTTTAAGTGGGAAAGAAGCTGCTAGGGAGGGTAATGGGAGTTCAGGTGCTGCTAGAGTTGGAAGCAACTAGGATAATGCTGCTGGTGGGGGTTCTGAATTTGGAATTGTTGTGACTTAGTAATTTAAGGTTATTTTGTCTTATTTTTATTAATTTTTATGCATATATATGAATTCAAAATCATTTTGTATTTTAAGTAGGATCTTACAATCCATGTTACAATTACATGATCAATGTGTGTTTCCCTATTCTTTCTGATCCTAGGTAGGATCTCGATTTTGACTACCTTGCATACAGCAAACCTCCCAACTAAGAAGAAATATGTCTCTCACCAGACCAAACAATTTTCTTCAACATTTCCAAAACTCCATCAGAACCAGAAAAACAATAGATAATACGCAAGTCTAGATGAGAATAACCAGATCACCCAATGAATATAAAACAATTCAGTTATCCATGCATACAGATATTTTGATTCACAGGATATCTACCATAAAGTAGCTGAGTCCAAAGGAGCTCCCAAAGAGACAATTGTAGAATTTCATGCGCCCAGCAAATTATACGTACAAAGAATCTGAGTACAAAGCATCTGATTTTCTATCAACAATGGGTTATTTGGTGATTCCACTCTTTCTTCATCAGTAGTTGATGGATTCAAAAACCCTATAGATCAAACCTCTTTCAATCAGATGGTCACATTCTTCTCTGTTTTGACACAAATCATTCAACCCACCACATGTCTACATAGCTCCAGCCAAGCCCTGCAGTCCATCACTCTGTTCTGCATTTTCTCAGTTTTGTTTTCTATGTCCTCTATTGCACAACTCAGTTTCCACACAAGTATTTTTAGTCTCACACAGATCTTGTCTTTGGTCTGCCTCTATACCATTGCAGATCTTCTCACCCTTTTGTTTAGTTTTTATATATATTTTTTTTTACTATTTTACTTTAACCCTGGGCTTAAACTTATTTAATTCCTCATTTACTTGGCTTTTGTTACTATTGATATGTGTATTTATTTCAAGACTATGACTTCTGAATATTAATTATGAATATATTTTAAACCATGGATAATATTTTTTATATTTTTTACTTTTGAGCATTTATATATGTGTAGGATAAAATATTTAACTACTATTTGTAATCTTCAATGTAGCAGTCATCCAGCCATTTGTTATCCCGCTATAGCAGTTTAAACGTCAGCCACTCCACACGGTTTTTTGCGATTGATAAATATCCTCCTCCAGAATGATTGGGGAGACTTGCTTAAATTATTTCTCATTACTCCTACATACTAGAATACCTTTTATAAACATTTCTGTCAAAGCTATTATTATTACACAGGAAAGCAAACATATAATCAACCATCCTAGGTAGTGGTAAAGCATCTCTGCAATGGAAAACCACATGATAATGAAGGGGTAGACCATCCAATGACTTTAACAAATATAAAGATGAAATAACTACTGGCAGCATCAAATTTCAGAATCTAAGACTAAATATTAGGAAATATAAATCTGTCACATATTCATCTATAGCATTGACTATTTTTTCAAAATCAACATTCAAAAATGAAAAAAAAAATGTATTTTTTTCCTTTTCTAACAGAAAGCAATCTTACTTTACACAAAAATACATCTTCACATACTCTATAAAATTAACAATGTTCATGATAAAAGAAATCTAAGTAGACCTCTATAGCAGAAGTCAGAAACTATTACAAAAGGTTTACAACAGAGAAAATAGAGAGAAAATTAGCAACCAAACTAACCATCATCCATTGGAAAGCCACTGCTTTTCTGGTTTATCCATATTTGTAATGGAATACGAACTTCCTGCATAAATGAATGTTACCATTACCAAACTTAAGAAACTGAAAATTGGCACATCAATGAGTGCTAAAATTGTTGAAATAAAAAAACTCCAAAATGGAAGTACACATCATTGTTATCAAACCAGGTAATGACACACAGCAGCCAACCCAAAAACATTAATGCTTGGTTTGGGAGTTAATTTTAAAAGGGGAAGGTGAAGGTTTATTTAATGGTGACCTTTGTTTGAAAGTTTTAAATGCGAAGAAGAGTTTTATAAACCCTCCAACCCCCACCCCCACCCCCCCCCACCCAAAAAAAAAAAAGCCTGAAGTTTTTAAGTTCTCACAATTTGGGTTAACCCTCCCTTCTCCTATCCTCCCTTACCCCTTAAACCCTTTCCTTCCCTATCCCTCTAAACTCCCAAACAAAGCCTAAAGCAAGGTTACAGAAACCGGGATGGCCACTATATCAAGGGTTATAGCTATAAGAGACACATATAAGTGCTCCAACTAAAGATTTGTCCAAAATTTAAGACAAAATCATAATTACTGATCACAACTTCACAAGTAATAGCTTAAACACAATCACCATAAAAAGGGACGATGATTGAATAAACAATAATTAAGACAGAGAGAGAGAGAGACTGTGAAGAACACAACACAAAGCAAAAATTGAACAAAGAGGTGTGTGAAGAACATAAGACAAACAAATATTGAACAGAGTACTGCATGAACACAGATTAGCAAGTGAGCAGTGGCCGGCAAGCAGTTTGAGTGTTGAAAGCCAGAACAAGAGGGTGGGAAAAGAGATCTGTGTGAACAGAGACCAATCGGTGGGCAGTGGGTGAGCTGGAAAAACATCAAGCTCGGTGAGCAGTGGATCACAGTTTGGTTTGAAACAAAGGTCAGCATTTGCTAGCTGAAAATGAATGGTTTCAAAACCATATAATGTTTTCTGATGCCAAAAATGGTGGGGACTTCACAAGATGTTGAAAGACTCAGAAAATTGGGGCAAATATGGATTTTCCCATTTGAATAGAGCAGCCACAATGGCCAGGGTTCTGCTATAGTGGTCACAATATCATAGGAACAGCACAAACATGACACAATGAGCACCTACAGGCTACAACAGCCTCAGGCCACTCTGCTCTCTGGCCCTATAGTGCATGATTGACTCGACTACTATGGCAGAGATGAAACCATCCTAGACATTAGGACACTTAATTGAATTCTATCCTCAACAATGAGAAAGAAGTTTGATCCATAAGCTTCTTTGGCTTTTATTGTATAGAAAGAAAAGAAAGGGAAAGGGGGAAGGAAAAATTCATCTGGACTCGGCAATATAAATTTATGTGGAATGACTATATCCTCCATGAGGATGAACATCAACATTTTAGTATTCAGATTAATTGGAAATTTAGACAGCCATAGTAATCCAAGTATACCGGAAGTATATATCCAGGAATAACTACAAAAATTAAAAAAAAAAAAAAGAGATAAAAGAGAGGGAAACACAAATAAGGGACACTCCTAACAAGTACTAGAGTACAAGAGTTGGATCCCACCAAACTCTTAAAACTACATATTCATCGCCTAAAACATTTTTTTTCCAGCTCCGTATCACTTACCAGCCATCTTGTTCTCAATAAAAACAAAATAAACAATTAGCACATACACTTTCTCCAGGCAATTGTTTCACACAGCTTACACGCATGTATCCTTAAGATGTCATGATACTGCCACTGAATTGCTAAAAATATTGCAAACCAGGCCTTGTCAAACTAAAAATTTTAGCTACCCTTTCTTCAATTACGAGCTCCCTAATAGAACTTAAAATATTATTTAAATAAGTGAAAACATAGCACATGTTTAGAAAAGAGAAAACAAAAAAACAGACATACCACCATTAGAGCTTGTCAAATACAACTCCCCTAAAAGCTTATGTTGTTAGTAGGGAAAGGCACAAGAATGGTCTTTTATATTATATCTCTAACAAGCTCCCTCACAACAGCCCTTTCGGGTTTGAAGCATGGATAACACATTGGTCTACCAACCTCATGCTATAATTCAACATTTTGTTAGAACCGGTACAACAAGGATTGAACTCTACACCACTAATGAAATTTCAAAAAGAAATAAAAGAGCGATTATGTGATACAGCCTTTTTTTAAAAGCTTTATTTCAAAATATACTTGTTTTAGCAGTAGAGAATGGTACTAAAACAGCTATTATTATAAGCTTTTTAAACATCTTTTTTAAAAACAAAGAACTTAAAAAACATGAAAGAAGGAAGAGTTCAAACAAGCAGGCCCTTAGTCATAGGGGCTCTGATACCATGCCATTAACCAACTCTCCCAAAAGCTTAAGTTGCTACATATAGGCTCATCCTGGTCTTTCATTTTACATATCCAAAAACATAGCATGAAAATAACATTATGCAGATACTTTCCAGTATAAAATTATAAATCAGAGCAAGTCATTGCAAAACCAACCAAATTAGGAACATCATTTTTGGACTCTGCGCGAGATTGCCCATTTTCAAATATTAGCCACCCTCCAGTTAATGTGCTTTTAACATAGTACAAATAGCGAATGTTTGAACCCTTATAAGATGGTGGAATAATGCTAGGCAGCAGTGTTCGCACCACATCTGCAATTAACATTTCACATAATCAACCTTCATAAATCAAAATATAGAAGACAACTACTAAAGCATGGCACATACAAATTAGTAATCACCAAGCACATATTCTGGCTAGTTTCAAACATCCAAATTATTTTCATGTATTTCCATGCATATCTCATCAGTGCTTATTTCAACAAATCTACCAAGTATTTCATTTTGGTAAATTCAAACATCATAATTTTTATCAATAATTGTGAACCAAAACAAATACAAACATTTAACCCATAGCTGAATCAGCAACTCTAAACCAAAAGATCATAACTCCAGCAAACAAAAAACTTAAAGAAAGTTTCTGGAATCTGATATAGCTGCAATAAGCAAATAGTGAGGAGTGGAAGTTTTGTGGGAAAATAGCATCAGATGTTGTTTTGTCCAATAACCCACTAAAACCAACTTCTCAGTTGAAGAAAAGAACAAGAGTGTAATTTTGAACACATTTACAAACATATTTTATCACAAAATCTTAAGTTTTAGTCTAATTATATTATAATTATAATTATAATAAAAAACAAAGAGGAAAAAACCAGCATACAGGCCATCTCTAGAAATTATAATGGGGAATATCCATTTAACCTAAGTACACCCTCTAATATAAAAGATAATAATGAAATTAGTTTGGATTTCAAAATTCCACAAGCATGCATGATTCACGAAGAAGAGAAAATATAAGAACCAACAGAAAGAGAGGGTCCATCCAAAAATCAGAATCCTTAAATGAAGAACTCGTCATACATGATTTGCTGGTGCCAGCATCAACAATCTGATTTGCAACTAGGATTGGTGTTGAGAACTCCAGAAAAACATGTTCACCTGAAATTGAAAAGGTACATTTAACAACAATGAAAATAACAATAACAATACAGTCTAAAAGCTATAAATTTCCATCTGAGAGTTCCAGATTAAAGCAAAACAACAACACGAACAACCAAAACTCAAAAGAGCAATAATATAAATGTTGTTGTAGCAACCACAACCTCTCCTTTGTTTAGAACCAGGCAAAGGCTTCTGTGTGGCAAACCACTGAGTGTCAAGTTTCTCAATGCCTTTGATCTCAAAACTGAGTCTTTCCACCAAAAGAGAATACCCATTTGAGGGATTGGAGATCTGAACGGTGACAACAACAGGATCACCAGGCCTATAAACTTGTCTATCTGTTTCAAGTTTCAGTGTTGGGTAAAAGAGTTCTTCTCCACCCTTTGGTGATGAAGATGATGTGTTCTTTTTGTTGTTATCCACCACATGGGAATCCCCACCTCCAAAGAACAAGAATTTCCCTTGTAGCATTGGTCTTTTGCTTCCAAGTTTGGAAAATTTGCTCTCCAACTTGTGGATTTTTCCTGTGAAAGCAATAACCAGTGAGTGAGCGAAACGAGGAAATGGGTTTTCTAAGAAATTGCAAAGGGGAATTGGGTTTGTTGAGAAGGGAAAGTGAAGGAATTGGAAGAAGGGTCTCACCAGCAATGATCAGAGCTGAAGGGGGTGGGGTTCTTGCACGGGATCTGATCTGAGTTGCAGTCTCGCAGAGAATCCACTATTAGCTACAATATTCAATTTGAAATAAAATCAAAATTAAAAATACACAATAGTTTTTCTTTTCATTCCAAATTATTATTATTATTTCTATTACAATTATTATTATTATTAGTGAATTTTTTGTGTACGGACCGATATTATTAAAAAATTATAGATGTATTGTATGAATATTTTTAAATTTAATAAATTTTATAATTTAAAAAGTAAATATTTTTATGTTTAATAATAAAAATTTTATTATATTAAATATAAATAAATTAAAGAAATGAAATTTTAAAATAAAAAAATATGAAATTTTAATATTTAAAAAAAAATAAAAGCTTAATGCAATATTAATAACATGGCATAATAAAAAAAATAAGAACTACTAAAAATATTTTTCTTTAAAACAATTTTTTAAAATAAAATTATTTAAAAATAGGGACTCATATCTAAAAGTTTAATTGCATTCACTTGAAAAAACCTACTAATATAAGGTTTAGATTTTAAATTTTAAATTTAAATTAATTTTAAATTTTATAATCTAAATATAATTTATTTAAATTTAAAGATCATATAAATTTAATAAAAATTAAATGTTTTTTGTCCTATTTAATTAAACTTAAAGCTTGAGTTGAAATAATTGTAATGCATTTAATTTCTTATTTAAAAATATATATAATTTGTGATGAGATAAAAGAAATAAAATGAATTTATTATAAAACATGGGATAAAAATTAAAATTTTACTATCAATAATTTTATTCATAAAAATTATATATAAACAAAATGTAAATTGTACTTTAATTGTTATATTTACATTGAAACATTAGAGAAATATACATGTACCAAATTTTATTTACATACAAAAATATAATATTAACTAGCTATTATAATAGGACTTAGATTATATAAATATAATATTAAAATAAATTAAATCTTAAGAACAGTCTTTATCTACATCCAAAATACTTAGGATCTAGTTCTAGTCATTATTATCGTGTCAATCCTCTATCTCGGCAAGCTCCTTTGGAATTAGGTTCCCATCCTTTCCAAGATTTCCAAAATTAACCTCAACCTCAACGTTTGTTGCTCACTTAACAATAAATTAGGTTAGTCTTCTAAAGAAATCATAACCAAGGAAGGCATATACATAATTTGCGGCTACTAGAGTTCTAATTGTCTCTTTATAAATATAGATGCTATGGGTGTGGCGGATCATATTATTTATAGGATAGTCAAAAGGGACACTATAATCTAAATTCACTTCTAAGGTAAAAATATCACCTTGTTTATTATCACAGTCTACCGCAAATTTAAAATAACAGAACTGCTAATATTCCATAAATGCATAATTTAGTCTATAATTTACAAAGTAATCTACTAGTCTAATTACTCTTCAAGATTCAGTCATCTTTGTTCCTTTAAATGTTCAGTAAGGATGAACATCTATTTCACCGTCTAAACATAATGCAATTACATTATTAATTATTATAACATAAACTTTATTCACAAATCAAAGGAAAATATTTCCATATCAAACACATAAACCAGTACATCAATAATTTCCACAAAATTATATATACTTAATCATAAATTACTACACTTTTCTCTCTCAAATATGCATTTTTTTTTGCATTGTGATCACATATATTTGATGTCTCAAGCACTTCATGAGGTTTTATACAAATAGGTAAATAGTTGTCAGTTAGCCCTTGTACACGGATACAACGTATACAATAATAAGCCCTTAACAAATGTATAATTAGAAGTCTAGTCAAGAAACAAGTGTGAGGTCATATGATGCATTTGCTCTCAGAAAAAGTGTGTACACATACGCGAATGTTGCTCACTACCCTGCATATCTCCCATATTTCCTAATCGTTTCCAAACTCTATACCTTTAGTGTATCTCTGTAACTGTTTATATTAGTTTCCTTCACCACTTTGTACTTATTTCATACTCTTATCATATTAATCTCATCATTCAACTAGTAAGATCCTACTTGGTAAAACACTTTCAGACTAAGTCCATACAATACATTTACTATAGAAATACATCATAACCATCCCAAATCAACCAAACACATACATCACTATAATTCACAACACCTATATATCATTTAATCATACATTTACATACAAGGAACATACAATGGTACTCTCATGAACACAAACTATTCACTATGCTATAATGACCAAAAAAATAGCTCTCCTTACCTTGAGATAAAGTTTTGAAAAGAGATTTATAGATAATATCGTTCAAAGAACAGAGCTCTTCCTAAATATCACAAAATAGAGCACTTTTAAGAAAATAGAAAATGAAGAAAAAAGAACCAAGATTGGAGAACTGAGCTCATAGAAACTTACTTGGAGTTTATCAAATTGAATATTCAAGTTCAGATTCAAGCAAGGGTCGGGGTTTAGAGGAGGTTTCTATGAGGAAAGAAAATGAGAGAAAAAGGGTAACTTGGATTGTAATGCAAGTTTTTTAGCTATAAATCCCTTAAATACTCCTCAAATTTGTGTACTTTCACTTAAGCATTGCTCCATTTCGCCTGGGTGAAAACATGAGATAGTGATTTTCTAGGCTTTTTCTAATATTCTCACCTTCGCAAGAAGAGGCTCACAGAGCTCCTCACTTTCCTATAATTCCTCACCTAGATGAGCTCCATCTTGCGTGGACGAGAGGATAGTTGGGGCAACTTTATCCTATATCACCTGGGAAAAAAATTCATCTCGCCTGAACTAGAAGGCTTTATAATTACCTAGTCTAGAATCCTCAGTCTCGCTTGAGTGAGACTCCCTCTAGCAACTTCATTCAAAGATTTCCAAATTAAACATAATTCAACCATAATTAATAACAAACAACCAATTAAGAAAAAGAAGATATTACACTAGCTAATTAACTTCTTTTGTCATCTGTATTTTTATATAAGAATAAGAAAAATAAATATATGTCAAACAAGTATTTTTTGGTCTTAAGACATGCCTACATACAAAGGTTTATATAAAGTATTTTATTTAAAGTATATTAATTTTATATATCTTTTATAAATTTATTTTAAAACAATCTATAATGTAATTGAAGTTTTTACTTTACATGATTTGGTTCTTGGAGTGAACATACATCTCATGTAAATTTTAAAATATTTTAATAGATGACTTCTTGATAACGATTCATATTTTAATAGTGTTGTTAAGGCATATCATACAAATATGGAGAGGTTTATAATCTATAAATCTAGTCAAAATAGGCAATAGCCCTTCATTCCTTTGTAGAAAAAAAAAAAAAAAAAGCTCATACACCAATTATTGATGCATTACACTTAATCTTTTATTTGCGAGAAATCATAAGCATTATATTGGTAGTGAAATATTAATAATTTCAAAATTTCCATGCAATATTCTAACTTCAAAACATTTAAATATATCATACTATTGATTTAGAATTATCTTGTTATAGATAATGAAGCAGTAGCAATTAAATGTCTCTTGTTATCTATATGAACAATCTTTTTAAAAGATTTTTGTCATCACTATACTAATAGTAAGCAAGGGAGAGAATATAGTCACACACACATAGGGCTATTCAAAGAAAAGCTCTTATAAGAGATTTAATTTATGGGTTCTTTTCTTATGAATTTAGCTTAAATAAGTAACAATTTTAATCTAATTAAACTTTGAGTTTTGTTACTAATAGGCTTATTCTTTGTAAGTGATCTTAAATATAGATTTTTTATATTTAATATAATAAATAGTGACCAACATTTAACAATATATCACTATTATCCAAATATCATAGATGTCATTAAATTAACATAAATTATTAATGCAATAATATATTTTATATTATTAGTCTCTTTGTCCATATTTAATTGAATACAAAGCATAAAATGTATCACTTTACAAAGTCTAATTTAGTTTCCTTAATATCTAAATATACTTTTTCAAAATTAATCTCATATATTTTACTAAGAATGATCATACATTTTATAATTGGACTTTATTAAAAAGTCTAAAATATTACTTTTGTTACATAAAATGAACAAATTTCATCTAGGTTACGCACATTTTTTCACGTGATTAATTCTATGTCTACTTACAACTTTATGATTATCTTATCACAAATAATGTTTGATAGGATTAAAATTTAAACATCATCACGTAAGAATCTTTATGACTTTGAGTCAAAAGACCATTACACTATTATCACATTGAGGATTGTCTATGAGATACATGCAACAATTCATGTAACATTTTATATTAGGTTAGTCAAATACATTATTACTTCTAATATGTATCTCTATGAAAATGTAATATCTCATATCAATGATTCATGACATTTGATCATTAATTCACTCATATACTAGTTTTAATGTATTATATCATTTAATATTAATACTTAACTAAGCATATTTTAAGAAAACATTAAGTAGGATGGTCCATTATAAGACTATCATAAAACCAAACTAATCTAAATAGAAACCAACTATATATATATATTGGATTTCAAGTCAAATTCACTTGGTTTTAAAATTAATTCAATACTAGATTTTAAATATATGTTTTGGATCAAAATCAATTTTGTGAATGGAAGATGACACAACAAAGTGCACGTAGAGCACACCGAGTAACCAAAGTTAGAAGAATATGGTTTCTTGTAAGCCACTAATGCAAACAAGGGCTTTTACCTTCCCAATCAAAAGTCATTTTCCGTTCCTACATTGCCTCTAATTTGTTGTCATTTCATGATACACATATATTTCTATTTTTATTTGAAATGGATTCCATCCATTTGAAAACAAAACAAAAAATAAATAAAAATTGGTTTCAACTTTCTTGTGTTAATGTAATAATTTAGTTTTAAAAATTTAATTCTTTTGATATTGATTAGATTTGGGTTTAGATTAAACTCAAAAATCTAGTTAAAATGAAAAAATCTAGTACTAAGTAAGATCTCACACTCAAGTCATTTGTTTCATAACATACAGTTTATCATTATA